AGAGAGAGAGAGAGAGAGAGACCAAGATAGAATCACTTGCGCTTTTAAGAAGGGAAACATTTTCAAGAGCTCTTATTTAAATGACTGGAGGAAATCTTATGAGTCGCCAGAAGTAATTAAAAACTTCACAAGATTACTTGACCATGTCTGGCAAATTTTTTATGTTTAAACTCACAACGTTACAACCGTGGTTCGTGGTCCTTTTCAAATGACAGTTGTGTCAGTAAATACGTATGGTAAATCAAAAGTGCTGATCTTGATTTCACCAACGACAGTCATGTTCTTCAACAATCGGGACAATGAGCGCGTTTCTTGTTATCGCGTTGTCAAAGAACACGTGGGATTGGATTTACGGGTGTTAGGTGAGAAATTGATTTATCATTATATATGATTAACTTCAAATGCTCGGTAATATCGATGTATATCTCAATTGTAGGAGAAAGATCTCGTGTCGTAGAAAACTGAAGAGTTGCTTCGTGCCTCGCAATCGTTTCGCTTATGGCCGACGAGAAGTATAATTTATTTGCTTTATCTTCTCTCGCGTATCTTTTTAACTGCATAATTTGCTTTAACGTTGATCGGAACGTATAGTTTACGTACACTTGTGAGTGACTCATCTTATTCATTAGTAATCACGATTTCTCCCCATCGCTCTTATTTTTTCCCACGTATTAATGCAGCAAATGTTATTAACGTGAATTGGCCACGAATATTATTACATCGTTGCGTACAACAGGAATTGACGGGATTATAACATTATTATAACATTGGTAAACGGCGAAGTGGTAACACGAATGAGTCACAATTAGCTGTGCAATAAGATAAGATATTATCATCGCCGGCGTTCGATTCTGTGTCTGCGTACAGATGCGCTCTATTTGCGTTCATGCGTCGCAGCGATCGTCCGGGAAAAGCTAAAATCTACGAATACTACAATCGCGCAAAAATATAATAATATATATTATGTATGCATCGTCCTACAATTGAGATTCAATGTGAAGAAAAACGTGTACCTTTAAAACGTATCGTTCCTACAAAACATTTTGATATACGGTGTATATGAATTTTTAGTACGCAGTACATACATTGAATATTAAATGTATATGCAAATGAATAATGTACTATACATGCACATGATTTACACATTTTATGCATATACGTGATGTATATTGATTTGTTATCCATTACAGGTACATGTAGTATATGTACACAAGATATACATGTACATACATAGGATGTACATAATTTGTACATGCATATAATATTATATGTACATTTGTATATCCAGCAATGTACATGCCATATGCAATGTATGTACACATATGAAATAAACATCAAATAAAGATGTGTCATATATATACATAACATGTGTAACTTATACATATTACAAGACACGGTAGTGTCTCACGCCAAGTATAATAGTGTATATACCCTCCAATCTTCAATGTACATACATACATACATTGTTTCAGTTGCATTTTATATTTTTTAGATTTAAAATAAAATTTTATCGCGTACATTTTTTTAATATTATAAATTTGGATACAATTGTATGAAAGTTTAAATATGATACGTCCAATTAATGCTTATACGTGTCTTGTATAATAATTTATGAATAAAATTGCGATTTATTAGATGTATATATTTACATGTACATGTTATATACCGCAAGGAATATACAAATTATAGACATCTAATGGACATACATTTAATATCAGGCGCTGTATATACATATTGAATCCATCCGTGAATACACATATATTATGTACTGCAATGTATGTCCAAATTATGTACATGAGACGTATATACATTTCACATACAGAATCTTTTTTTCATGTCATGGAGGAAAAATGCATAATATGTACATACATAGGACATTGTTATGTGGGTTGTGCATTCTAGCGTATTATACAAGCGTCTTTAAATGTTAAACATCGTAAAAGAGGCACATTCATTGCTCTCATGTATAAAACGGAATTTTCCACGGTGCGATAATAAATAATACGCGCAAGGAGTGCATTATGCTGATTGTGTAAATAATAATGATTTTGTATAACGACTATCGCAATTTACAATACGCATAATTTAACATAAAACTTAAATAATTTTTAGTATATATTTAGTATATATTCTTTCTTCTTAAACATCGGTTACACAGTAAAAAATAAAATGTTTGTTCAGTATCAACACGAACAGTATTCGTGTTCGCGCTGTCTTTTCGCGTAATAACAAGTTGTGTTGTTCGTGAATATATTGTTTATTGTTCAGTCTTAGAATACGCCTAATGTTAACATTTTTCACATGTCCCAAAAAGTCCACTCTAAATTTTAAGTTAAAATAACATTCATCGCGTGTGTTACTTCTTGACAAATAATAAATGTTAATTAATTAACACTATACTTCACATTTGTGTTTATGTTCTTTTAACCATAAGCGTGATGTAATAAAAACAGACAAGGTAAGTAAACTGCACGAATAGTTACACATTAAAATAGTTGAAATAATTTTTAAGAAATGTTGGTATTACATGTTTTAATTGTAGCGATGAAGACTTTTGGTGGCGAAATACTATTTTTCTTTATATCTGGAAATATATTAATTCTCTATGTTTTTATTATAATTTCACACTTACACGATTTTTACAGAAATTATACCATTTTTAATAAATATAACTTTGATATTCTTTATTCAGGTAAAATATTGCAAAAGCTTGGATATGGTTATATTATTACATTTTCTTTGATATGCTACGCACTTGGGCTGGAATTAATAACTTTAGCGTTGACGCCTTGGTGGGTACTTGGAACATATATCACGAGACACGGTAGTGTCTCGCGCCAAGTATAAGCGACAAAGATAAAGTGACAAGCTAGAACCGCACGCGCGAGACCGACCGTGTAGTTTACGCAAGTGCGCGAGTTGACGGGCCCTCGGAATTTCGGATCTCAACAACGACTGATCCGACGAACTTGAGACTGCGCTTAATCGTTAGCTTGGGTACGTTTTGCATAATAAAAGTGTTTTTACTTTTCTCCTACGTGCCCCATGAGTGGAGATATTGCAATGCAAAGTCCGAGGTTGTGAATTTTCGCGTAAGAAACGTCGTCGTCGTTGTCGTCAACCGACCACAATTTCCTTTTTATTTTTCTGCTAATTTTTACAGGGATTGTCATATGCGCTCTATTTCATAACAATAATACTCTACGCAAACGTAGTGTCACCATCCGTTACTGCAGCTATTGTTCAAGGATTGGTTCTTAGTTTACTGGATGGTTTCGGTAAGATTTACGAGGTTGCATTTATCGAGAACTACGCTATTAGACAAGTCTGTACATATGAAAGAATATTTATGAAAGGAGTATATGTATCTATATATTTTCTTACTCACGTTGTTGTTTGTCGCTATAACGTTATATTTTTAAGATAATCAGTTTTTAGTTTGGTAGATGGTAGTTTGGTAGATGGTAGACAGTTTGGTAGACTTTTCTATATAAAAAATATGGCGGTAAAATAACTCTAAGAATATTTGCAGTACTTGCAGCATTAATATAGTTTATTATTATTAGTCTTTACACTTTGTATTTAAAACATAAAACAACAGGTAAGGAATTAAATTTAGCTTCTTAATATACAACATATTTTTCGAATGTATGATAGAAGGATAAAAAGCTTTGTTCTTGTTTATAGACACACGAAGTAATATTAACTATTATACACAAAATATTATCAAGATGGAGTGTGAATCGCATAGTAGAATATTGTCATACTTCAAACACAATAAGTTCCGAAGTCTAATTAAAAGAAAACTTTATATCTAAAATTTTCAATTTTTGTTGCAAATAATCCTGTAATTATAGAGAAAAATGTTATTTCCTACTTCCATCGAACTTATATAGTTTTAAATTGTTACCGCATTTCATTCTCTTATCATATTTCGAAATTGTATTTTTCCATTTAGATACCGTACTAAGGTAAACGGCTATAACTTCGTCAGGTGCGTAATTTCGTCAGGTTTTCTTAAAATTAAATATACATATTAAGCAATCTCGCGCATATCGACTTTATTTTTCGATTTGAAACGATTTGAACACTTTTCATCGTCTCAATACGGAAATTTTGAACCGAAAGACGTATAAAAAAATAAGGATATAAGTACGTTTATCCTAGCGCGAAATCGCGCGGCGCCATACTTAGTGGCAGTCACGT